TKKTGTGTGTGTGTGTGTGTGTGTGTGTGTGTGTGTGTGTGTGTCTGTGTGTGTCTGTGTGTGTGTGTTTTGAATATTCACCACAACAGCCCCTATTCCACCCAGATGAACAGATCCAAAATCAAAGCATACTTAATCCTATTACAGACAACAAAAGCTCTTGAGTTGAGGCAACCCAACAACGAAATAGCAAGCGACATGAAGTACAATAGCTGCATAAGAACCCCTTTCTTGAATGTGTTCACATTTGCTTTCTTCGGGGTACCCCTTCCGTTTGTTCTTGCAGCTCCCCGTTAACCGTCCTCTCATGCACAAGGCTCGCCACATCGATTGTGGTTGAGCATGAGCTGCCCACATCCCCGTGTGCCATAACGGTCCACGTGCACACTATAAAAGGAGGCAGAGCAAAGACGGAGGTATATTCCTGTTCATTTCTTCTCAGATCTTCAACTTATATTTTGTCTGTTCTCGTAATGTTGCTCATTCGTATGCATTACTAGTAATACACAACAAGAGGAGGGAGGAAGGAAATGGGAGGTGGAGTTCTGACAGGTTCTAAATAGTGACCGCTGGGGCAGACCACTCTAGAATGGCACATGAGTCCAGTCAGTGTGTGGGTTTCATAAGATTTGAGGAGCAGTTGTTGCCTATGGTAAGCAGCCACCTCTACAGACCGGGCAGGACTGGTTTGGGTGTGGCCTGTGGAAGCACCGCATCCAATTCTCACAGTCACAGTTACTGCATCGAATGGCACGGCATGGACAGATGTCACAGGCTACATTGCTCCTGCATATTAGGAACACAGAGGCACGTCGATGGCAATTGTAGAGGCATTGCCGTTCCAGCCCCTGTCTACAAATTGGACATGACATGTCAGGGTGCCGTACATGAGTGCAGTATAGACTGTCATCATACGTATGAAGACAAAAGCTCGCCCGGTCTATCCCTTCATAATCCTCACGGCATAAGGCATGTGAACCACATGCTAGCTGAATCTTCGGTGGGCAATCGCAAAGTGGCATGTAGAAAGTTTCTTTGGGTTTCCTCAGTATTTATTCCTTCTCTATGGGTAGACGAGTGTGTGTGTGTGTGTGTGTGTGTGTGTGTGTGTGTGTGTGTGTGTGTGTGTGTGTGTGTGTGTG